AAGCATTGGACATTGGACGGACTTTGGACAAAGGTTTTCTGAAATTGACACCACTAGTCAGAACCAACCTATAAAATTACTGAAGTTAGAACAAACTTCACCGATAAGCGACCTCCTGAAGTCTTCGCTCGCGGGAAAGGAAGGCGACGTATCATTTGATCTCCGACCGACTTGCTGGCCCTTTCGCGTCTCCGATGTCAGGTCTGTCGCATGCCGTCGGCTCATAGCGGCCCTCGCCGCCTCCAGGCGCGCTATTGTCTGAAAACCAACGACCCAATGCCCGTGGCTGATAGCGTCGATAAGATGGTGGTCTAATTGAGCAGTCAGTTTCTCAAATACCGACCGATGTTCAGCCGCACGTCAACAAGCTCTTGGACATTATCTCTACCGTCCATCCTATGGAGATATCGTTCCTCATCTTCACGCCTCACACAGTGACGCGTCATTCCTAACGAGGCATGAATAGCTCACGGTTTCAGTGCAGGCTGCGTGGGCTGAGGCCGTGTTCGAAGCGTCCAGGCGAGATGGTGATTTATTGCCTAGCATATTATACCTACGTGGGGAAAAAGGGAGCATATCTTTCAATAAACTTTTGTGCTGCCTAAGTGGCTAATCAAATACTAATAATCACTTCCTTTCTTTTTCTGTAAGCATTCTGTTCCTTTTTCGGTACGACCGTAAATGGAATGTTTCACCCGATTGCTGTTTCGGTATAAACTACAAAGGCCGTCGCTTGAAAGTAATTTGCAAGATCCAAGATCGTTGAATTGCCCGGAGCGATAATGGCCGCAGATTATGTCACCGTCTATTTCTATGTGATGCAGTTTTGGACACCGTCTTTTTATATGTGCCGCTGTTTTGTCACCGGCCTTTTATATAACTATGTCAACGTTTGTGACACCGTCTATTTATATGTACCACAGTTTGTGATGTCGTCTATTTATATGTACTACAGTTTGTGATACCGTCTATTTATATGTAACACAGTTTGTGATGCCGTCTATTTATATGTACCACAGTTTGTGATGCCGTCTATTTATATGTACGACAGTTTGTGATGCCGTCTATTTATGTGATGCAGTTCGTGACAACGACTAGTTATATGTGATGCAGTTTGTGACAACGACTAGTTATATGTGATGCAGATTGTGTCACAGTCTATTTATATGTGATGCAGTTTTGACATAGTGTCTATGTGCGCTGCTGTTTCGACACCGTCTTTTTAGAAGTGATGCGGTTTGTGACACCGTCTATTTATGTGCTGCAAATTATTACTCTATCAATCTATAGACGCGTTTACATAGGGTTTGTTGCAAGCTTATATCTCCGTCCGTGATGTTGCAAAAGATGCCAATGGTGCTGAACAATTTACAAAATGATCCCCTCTAAATATTTGAAGACCACTACATCGAAATTATCGCCAAATTAGCGAGCTAGAGCCTTGTCAAATATGCTATGTAAACCGGGTTTATATGTGCTGCTATTTGTGACACCGTCTATATGTGCGCTGCAGATTGTGGCTCCATATATTTATGTGTGTTGCAAATAATGAAACCGTCTATTTACATGCGGCTCAGTTTGTGATAGGTATGTACCTAACGTCTATTTATTTGTGACAGTTGACACCGTTTCTGGCCGCAGCGTGCCGCCGGTCTGGGCGCGGTGGTTCGCGGACGCCGACAACTGCTGCATCCTGGGCCTGCTGCTCTGCGTGTTCAGCGCCCTGCTGGCCGCCGGCGGCACGCTCACCTACTTCGGCTTCTTCTCGGAGCAGTCGGTGACGGCGGCCGACCCGCACCACCTGTCGGCGGCGCTGGCGGCGCTGGGCCCGCTGCTGCTGGCCGCCGCCCTTCTGCTGCTGGTCGCCGCCGGCCGGCTGTACCGCGCCGGCGGCTGCAGCGGCCAGCCCGAGTGGCTGCAGCGCCACCGACCCTACTCCACCATGGAGAGCGGCAGCCGCGACGGCAGCGTCAACCCCGGCTTCGAGAGCGCCGAGGGGTAGACGGACCTCACATTATTGTTGAAGTGTACTCTTGATTCGTCTCTCTGGAGTGTTATCGTTACGCGAATCCTTTAAATCTATTATGTCACAGCCTGTTTCACTGCATGCAATAAGTTACCAAGTGCCTCTTTAACCTTCGCCCCAGTGGGGGGGGGGGGGCATATGTTACCACCCTGTCGCGTTTTTTTCGTATAAATAAAAAACCGCGGCGCGTAGCGCCGCGCCGCTTGGGGTAGCTTTTGGTACATCAATTTTGGACAATGTGTGAAATTTTTTACCCCAGGTCATGTCAGGTCAGGTCACCAGGTCAAGTTAACTGACCAAGCCTAAAAAAGTTTGCAATCATGTCCAGTCTGCAGTGTTTGTCAGAGAGGTTTTAAACTTGGTGGATTACATGATGTTATGGGTGCCTACAATTTGTATATCTCGGATTTTTTATATGCGTGACCTAAGGTCAGGTCAGTGGCGTGACCTTTCCATTATAAGTCAATGGAGAAAAACGAAAATGCCTCTAGATCCGTGTGTACGCATAGGAACAGTCCAAATATTTCAGGATTACAATGATTTGGACCACCCGTGACGACCAAGGTGTCTTTTTTGCTGATAGCCTCTTGAAAGGTCATCCGAGGTCATTTGAGGCTACAGTTTTTTTACCAATAACTCTCGATTGGAAAAAGATAGAACGCTGGGGTTGGCCCCATCGTGTTTGTCTTGCCGAGACGCATCGACTGATATGCAACATGACCTCTTCCGGTCAGGTCATGACCTTGACCTGAGGTCAAATTTTGAAGTTGACCTTTCAAGGTCAAATTATAGTTCATTCGACGCGTCCCGGCGAGAGGAACACGATTCTGGCATTAGAAATGACCTAGCTTTTTTTAGTCAAAAGTTATTGTCGAAAAACACTTTTCTTATAAACAGCTATCTTTGGAGTTTTTGCCCTCTGGAGGCTAAACCGTTGACCTGAGGTCATTTTTTGATGATGAACTTATCAAAAGAAGAGTTCAAAAGCAATCGATTGCCCTTCCCAGCGTTTTTCTAGCTATCATAGTTCCTGAGATAATGGCATGTTTTCTGAAAAATATAATGACAATTCGCATATTTTGACCTTTGATGACCTCTGGTGACCGTAATATTGCTCTAAGATGAAAAACGACTGAAATACTTTCAAACGTACGCATCAAGAGCTATCGACTGCTTTTTGCAGCGTCTTTCTAGCCCTCTTAGTTTTTGAGTTAGAGGTGGGTGGTAACATACCAGTAAACATGCCGACGTCGGCCCGACGTCGGGCCGAGGCTCGGCCCGACGTCGGCCCAACGTCGGTTCAACCTCGGCCCGACATCGGCAGGACGTCGGATATGCCCGCATGTTCCGACGTCCAGCCGAAGTCCAGCCGACGTCGAGCCGACGTCGGGCCGAGATCGTTTGCCGAGGTTGACGAGATCGTTTGTCGTTGGACCGACGAGGCCGACGTCGGCATGTTTATTGGGACAACGCGCCAAAAATATCACCCGGCGGCGGGATTCGAGCCCCCCAGTCGCCGACGTCGGCATGTTTACTGGGACAACACGCCAAAAGCATCAGCCGGCGATGGGATTCGAGCCCCATGTCATTCGATCGCGAGGTTAGTGCGCTAACCACTATACCACGCAGCCAGCTAACGGATTTGGTTTGTTTTGTTGGGTTATGCCCTTTCGGTCTGACAAGACCATTTCAGAGCCGGAAGGATCATAAGAAGGAGACATTGGTCTTCTTGGCGAGCACCCTGGGTCCAGTTCATATAGAGTCCCTGGTCCCATTGCTGTTACGTGACACTTATTGGAAAGGGCGACCCCACAATGGATTCATATAGCCACTCTTACACACCTGCACCAACGTTTCCCAAAGTGTCCCTTTGATAAGTGGCACTTTGGCAAAGTGACACTTGCCGACTGGCCTTTCTATATGAACTGGGCCCGGCCCTGGTGAGTTGCCGGGGCTGAGCCTGACCAAAGGATAGGCCGAGCAGCCCCGAAGCACTCACCGCACCCGGCTACGGGCGAGCTTGGCTTACGGGCAATCTCAAATGGGATAAAGTTTCCCGTCCAGTCCGGATCAGGGGGTTGCGGCGTGGATGAAGACTTGAGTTTCCTGAGGATATTTTGAATACAGAAGCTCTTTATGAAACATGAAACATGTATTTTATATTATTTTAACGGTCAAAACAGCGGTCGATGTCGGTCCGACGTCGCCCCGACGTCGGCCCGACGTCGGCTGGACCTCAGCAATTGATCTCGGTCCGACGTCGGCCCGACGTCGGCTGGACCTCGGCTGGACGTCGGAACATGCGGGCATATCCGACATCCAGCCGACGTCGTGCCGAGGTTGGGCCGACGTCGGCATGCCGATGCCGAGTTGCCGACGTCACCCCGGCGTCGGCCGACGTCGGGCCGACGTCGGCATGTTTACTGGGATATGCCCCCCCCCCCCCCACTAGGGCGAAGTTGGCTGAGACCGCCACTGGGGCGCGGGTTAAGTCGTGCTAGAGGGACATATTTCAGCCAAACCCAAGTCAATGGGGCTGGCGAGACTAATACCATGACGACTGTGCTTAAAACATGCCGTTCGAGAGGAAAGTTGTATTTGATTTCGTGGCACAAGTGGACGGATCATATCCAGTGGAGTATGGGAGCCACACCTACAAAACATCAGCTAGCATCGAGCCGCGCTAACGTACACAAAATAGAGCGCGCTGTGTCCTCATTCCTCTGGCATACCGCCATGCTAATTCATAAAACACACTACAAAGACTCAACAATTTGTGGACGGCTCGGCGGTATCCGGCGCCGGTCCCGGCGTCAGACATCGCCAGCCGCGGCTCTGTCGTTCCTATCGGCGCAGGGCGTGCCTGGCCACACCCTGGCCACTGCTGCTCTGTATACTGGCCCTCCGATCACCGCACTGTTGACTAGCGTCGCTCAGCACCTGAATGTGCGTGGAACGTGATCACTGAAAACCCTCGGCCCCGCGTCCGGCCACCGCTCCACCTCAACCCACCATTCCCCAGTCGCTGCACTCACAGTTAGTGCACCTGCAGCTGCTGCATGTCAGCCAGCCGCCAGCCAACAGTCATTGCCGACCAGCAGCCAATGCGAGCCAACAGCCATCGCCGGCCAACAGTCACCCCGGTCAACAGCTACCGCACCAACAATCCCCGCACCAACAGCCACCGTTCCTTCTGCCAGTGTGCGGAACTTCTGGACGGATAATATTCAATTTCTGCGGTCTTCACCTTCCGGTCAGTTCACATTCTTCCGATCACTGTCACCAACCGATCTTGTAGCGCAAGTGCCACTAGCGCTGGCTAGCACTACACTAGCAGAAGAGTTCGGTATGCGATGAATTAATGTGGATGTCCATTGAACCAGCCGCAGTCCATGCTGTATCTTTGTGAAGTGCGCTATTACATTGTCCGGTTTAGTCGAACCTTACTGCCAAAGCCACGTTTTCCTGGAGCAGACGTTTTCTTCTTAGAGCCCTGAAAAGAAAAACACACTTGAATGAAGAAGTTGGTAACAGACCACTGTGGCACCAAAGAAAGGAAAAGCGTAAGCCCGCAAGGTCGCTGTTTAATGAAACTACAAAACTAAGAACGTTAACACTTTTGATGAGTGATAAACTTGCGACTAATATGTCCCTGATAGTGCAGCAAAGCTGTCAGAAATCAAATGATTATAGGACATCGAGTAATACCTACTTAAACATAATAAAACGTTTTAATCGCAATCCCAAATAGTTGATCTACAAATCGCCCCCATTGGGTTGGACGTAAGCCGCTCGATATGTGGTTACTGACATGGCTGCGGTGCGGAGAAAGGATGAGGCTTGGCAGTGTTGCGGTGCAGCAGGACGTAGGATGGACGGACCGGCGCAGGTCAGGACACCAGGGTGAGGGAGACACTCTTCAGCGTCGCCGCCGCCGCCGGTACCTCGTTCCGCATGTTGTCAATCACTTTGTCGATGTCTCTCTTCACGGTGCTATTCAGATATTTGCTTAGTACTTTGTCCAGGTCTGGATGCTGGAGCCATACGTGGAAAATCTCTTTGGCATGAATCCTGGAATGTAGGACGAAATCGTGAGCATAATTTTACGCTGCAGCAGGTAGCCCATAGATACCACAGAAGCTGAATATTCTCCCTCCTCTTCGGATAATATACAGTTAAATCGTCCTAGTGGAAAGGGTAGCAATAAAATACTTATGTCGAGCTTTGATTGTACAATAGCATTCCTTAAAATGCATCATATTAGTCAGCTATAAGTTTGGCTAGTGGCTACATTCACTGCACAGATGGCACAGACGCACGGTGGCTCCATTGTGCACGGTGGCTCCACTATCGTCCCTACCCACCAGAGGACGCTGTGTCAGCCGCTCACCGTGTCTGCAGGTCTCCCTCTCTGACCAGCTGGGCGGCAGCCGGCACCAGTTTGTCCGTGATGTCCTTCTGTCCGCCCAGTGAGCCGGCGGGGCCGAGCCGGGCGACCACAGCCGCCAGCAGTCGGGCCACTGTGGCCCGCACCTGACTACTGCGGTGGCCCAGGCCCTCCCCGATCACTACCGCTACGGCACGAGAGACGGAGACGTTCTCTAGCATCATGTCCAGCGCCCGGTTACTGTCGGCCTTGATGAACTTGTTGGTGTCGCTGGTCTTCTGCAGGAGGATGGCCACCATGCTCTCCATGTTCTGTGGACATGGTGTGGTATGGTTGAGCTGACGACAATTCTGTATTGTGGACTGGAGTGAGTGTATATAGCTGCAGTGCCGATACAAAACCACCGATACATAACGGGAGCTTATTTCCAGTCCGAGACAACTTTAGAACATTGGTCGAGCTAGTTGATCTCTGCATGGGTACAATGCACCTTGTGGAAAATCGCTTACATTGCATTCAGAAAACAAAAGATAACTGGGATTATAATTCAGAAGGGAAGGACGGCCTGTTCCTCACCGGCTCTGCCGCCTTGCCGACGTGCTGGAACATCTCGGCGCTGGTCTGCACGGCGGCGCGCAGCACCTGAGAGCGCAGGTTCTTCATCTGCTTCACGATGGCGGCCACGACCGTCTTGAGGTCGCCGCTGACTGTATCCGGGTGGTGTCGGAACAGGCGCACCAGGTCGGTCAGACCCGACACTTCGCGCTCCCTGTGAAAGGCGATAATGGGAATGGTTAGACGGGACAGTCGGTATTAGTGATGTCAATTACGGAAAATCGGAATACCGATACCAAACCAAATACCAACCAAAACCACGGGAAAATACCGAAACCAAACCAACTTGGGAAACTGAGGGAAATACTAACTTTTTACCGATTTCTTAGCCTCTTATACATTAGTGAGGGCTTATGATACCAACAAAATACCAAACACATTACGATCGAAATACCAAATACCAAGTTGGTATCGGTTTGGTATCGGTATACCAAAAAGTTGGTATCCGATTGACATCTCTAGTCGGTATACATACACAGCACGGTATAACTGGACAGTGGGAGTCCGTGAAAGTCACCGTTCCGTGCTTCTATCCTTAGGATACTGAGATCCTTCTCCTCCACGCCGCAACCCCCTCCGAGCTGGACAGGCAACTTAATCTCATGCGGGCTGCTCCCGAGGGAGCGCACCCTGTAGCCGGGTGCAGTGAGTACCTTGGGGCTGGTCGGCCTGTCTTTCGGGACGTGCTCATCCCCGGTGACTCACTAGGGTGTTTGCCCAGACCAATGTCTCCCCCTAATTCCTATCATCCTTCCGGCTCTTAACCCTCGCCCGTATAGGGGGGGGGGGGGGGGTCGAACGGACCCCCCCATGGTTTTTCGCGAATAACTCGCGTAAAAAGCGGCCGATCGCGACGAAACTTTCAGTACCCTCGCGCTCATCAATTTTACACCTACCCTGAAAATTTCATGACCCTGACCCAAGTGACCTTTGACCTGTGAACTACTTTTCGAGACCTTGTTTGGCCGGAATCGCGATTCGGCGTATGTCGGCTCGCATTAGCCGCGCGTTTGCAGTCTTTTCGTGGTTTCAAGCGTTCAAACATGTGATATGATGTTGCCCCCATGCATTAGGGTGGGTGTCAAGGTCACCTGAAGGTCAGGTCAGGTCATTGACCTTTGATGACCTCGGCTCACTTTTTCGAGTTTTACATGTTTCTAGGCCAGTTTTTGGAGCTGAATTCGAATTTAGCGACCATATGAACATTTACGAAGTAGTTTTGGTGCCTTCGTAACATGTTACGAAGCTGTCAGAGGCGGTTGCCACCTACTACGAATACCCTTACTGGTTGACCTGACCTGACCTGACCCGACCTGGCCTAAATGCATGAAGACATCATCTGTGATCAAAACTAACATGATATTCGTGATCAGCACCCCGAAAAACCCCATAGCAGCCACACTTTAGGACGTTCTAACAGGTCCCGATTTTCCCGACTTTTGGGTCATTGACCTGACCTGCAAGGTCAACCAATGACCTAGGACCTTAAAATTGGGTATCATCGGCTTCCTCTCGTCACGGGCAACACGCTCGTTTTTTCCGCGAAGCTCTAGCTCGATCAGGGGCGAAACGGCAAGGGGGGGTCCAACGGACCCCCCCCCCCTTATACGTTCGCGGCTGGAAAAACACCAATACGGGCGAGGGTTAAATGGTCTAATTGGACCGAAAGGGCCTAACCCAACAAAACAAAAACAAACAACCCTGAAAGTTGCGACATGAGCAAGACAGTCGGTACAAACTCGTATAAGCGGAACGGTCAGACGGTATACAGTCGGCTCACATGAGACGGTCAGACAGGATGACAGTCCTTACACACGGGATAGTCAGACGAGAACGTCGATACACACAGGATGTCGATACACACAGGATGTCAGACCGTGTAGACAGACCGACGACAGTCAATACGCACCAGACGCTCGGCATACTGGCCAGACAGTCGGTAGCTGGAACAGCATGCTGTCTACCACAATGGATTAGCTGACCATTTTATTTTTCACTAATGCATCTACCTACAGATAGAAGATCGTTTGATTGATGTTGTGGTATGAATAAAATATCACGGAAAATGCAGACATATGTGCTAGCATTTCCTTTCCCCTGCAGCTAAATGATCCCAACACATGCCAGAGATTCCCTTTTCCTTCTATTTATCTAACTGTGACTCCCTGCTCATGACATAATATCCCAGCGAAGTCTCGCGGTGCTGGTCGGTTTCACCTAACAACATCGTTTTGTTTTCCCTCGGTTCCTAATGTCCACATAAATCCATTGAAGCCGAGTGCGCTGCTCTACTGACCAGTCGTCCGAGTTGAGTTTGCGGTAGGCCTCGTCCAGCGCCTGCCGCGGGTTGGCGAACCGCTCCAGCTGCTGGCCGAACACGGAGCTGGCGCTGCTCGGAACGCTGGACTTGTTCATGTCGGCACCGAACCTGACGGCCACGCAACAGCAGTGTCAGGTATACGTACACGTACACTCGCAGATCCACGGCAAACGTCGTTGCAGCCTAATATTGCCACAAGACACCAAATAAAACACGCCACGGGGCAACAAGTCTTACAAAGGCTCAAGTGCCCGGTTGGTATTATTATTATTATTATTATTGTTTATTCAGCATCGTCATGCGACAAAAAGATACATACCCCCCCCCCCCACCCACCCACACACACAGTCAATCAGCACTCAGGACGTTAGTAGTCTTAACAGGCGCCGCGAGGCCTGACAGTAGCTTGCCAAAACCATCTTCAAACTGTCTATAAGACCGCTTTCTTGGAGTGGTGCCCGGACTATGTCGTGATCGACGTACCCAGCAGCGATGTGCATGATAGTGCCGAAATTCCCACCACACAGATTATATACGTGGCCAATAAACGACCCATCCAACTGCTCGGGGTACGTAGCAAGTCTGGCCAGTCCAGTGACGTAGGCTTGGCGAAGACGGTGGTCAGCGCGGAAAGCATTACGGAATGCGCGGAGGGCATTACCTCGCAGCACCTCACCGATGCGAGGCACCCCAGCAGCAATCAAAAGAGCCGTATGGTGCGCAGAACGCGGCAGACCCAGCGCTGCCTTGATCAGCGAAGCCTGTCGCGAGTCTAGACGCTCAATGTCGGCGGAACTGAGGGGAGCCGTCTCACAGCCGAAGATCAGTGCCGGCAGCACTACTGTCTTCCAGAGGAAGATTTTGTCAGCAGCAGTCAGGCGGTTGGTGAAATTGCCCAGGGGTGTGAGGCCATAGAATGATGCACAAGCACGCCTGATGCGCTGAGCCACGTGGTTGTCTGTGCTGAGGTTGTCATCAAGCACCGTACCGAGGTGCTCGGTCGTCTGCCGGATCTGCAGCTGCTGTCCTGACAGTGTCCACCTCGGTGTGCTCGTGAATAGTTCCTGTCCAAATATAATACAATGGCTCTTGGTTTTTCCCGGTTCAGGGTGAACGAAGTCGAGGCGCCAAGTAGCCGCGAATTCTCCCACCATCTGCAGCATTGCACCGAGGTCACGCGCGTTCGCAGATATAAGGAGAACATCGTCAGCGTAGCAGATAGCGGGTACGTGCTGGCTGTGTAGATATGCTCCACGACCGCTGCGATCTAGGACCTCAATAAGAGGTAAGAGGAAGATGTTTGCAAGGGTTGGCGATAAGATGGCCCCTTGTCTGGTGCCCCTGCAGACCAGGAACGCTTCAGATGTGGCGCCACCAAAAGTCACCCTTGCAGAGAGGTGGCGGTACCAGGTGACCATGAGGCACCAGCAGTAGGCGCTAAGATAATCTTCCAGACGGAAGAACAGACCGTCATGCCATATTCGGTCAAAACATTTCCTCGCGTCAAGGTTTGCGACAAAAACAGGAAGACCCCTGGCTCGATTCTGCTGTATGGTCTCTCCAGCCAACAGAGACGCTTGCATGGTGCCCCGATTGGAGATAAAACCAAACTGCAGATGATGAGGTTCAAATGAGGCGTTCAGTTCGTCTAGCACTAACAGCTCGAGCAGCTTAGATGCGCAGGTTGTGATTGAAATCGGTCGATAGTTGTCCAAGCAGTTAGGGTCCGATTGAGATTTCTTCAACACGGGTACAATAACGCTGTCAGCGAAGGTAGCTGGCACGCTACACGTGGACAGGCAGACAGAGAGAAGGTGCGCCAGAGCTGACAGGAGACAAGGCGACTGACCATAGAGAAGGTGCTCCGCCGTGATGCCGTCTATACCAGGTGCCTTCCCACGCTGTAACCGGTGAATGAGGCCTGCTACTTGTCCAGCTGAAACCGTTCTTTCGGATGCATCGTTACGGATTCTCCTTAGTCGAGAATCTACATGTTCAGCAATTTGGAGCTGGTCCAGAGTCAGTTGCCTGTGACTATCTTGGTGCACAGTCTGGAAGTGGGTGCGGAAGTCGGCGGCGGATAGATCAGAGGCCGACTTGAGTCCATTACGCCGTATCTGTTGCACACGTCGCCAGAAGGCTGTCAGATTTTTGTCACGGCGGAGCAGTTCGAGAGTGTGGGCCTCGCTCTCGATCCGCGCCACTGCTGCACGTCTGCGGGCGTGACGGTAAGCAGATCTTGCAGCCTGATAGCACTGTGCCACTGCTGAGAGGGTAGGACGGCCACAGTTTACCCATATCTGATGCCAGAAACGAGTGCGATCCCGCGCCACTGCCACATCAGGCGACCACCAGGGCTTCGGGGGACGTCGCGTCTTGGAGCATCCGGCGATTCGCGCAGCAGTATGTATGCATCGTGTAATTGCTTCGTCAATCTCATCCGGGGTGGCACCGTTGGTGAGCTGACAAGCACCAATAAGCTCGTCCAGAGAAGACAAATATATCTGCAGTTTTTCTGGACAACTCCAATCTAGTACTTCTGAATGGATGGAACCCATATTCAGTGGAGGGCTGGAGACATCGAGACTGGTGCCAGCTGAGGCAGACGGCAGCACCACGCTGCAAAGGACCGGAAGATGTGGGCTCAGGTTGTCCACACAGGGGGCTACGATGCGACAATCATGAACTTGAGGCACCAGACATTGCGGTACAGCGATGTGATCGATGTGCGATTGGCCGTCAGCTCGAGCATAGGTGTACGCCACTGGTTGCGAGAACCGGAACTCGGCGACTGTCAGTCCGTGGTCGTCCAATAAGTCTTGCATTAGATGACTCAGCGGAGAGAAACCCCGAAGACGGTGCCAGCCCGGTGGGCGCAGTTCTGGTGACAGTGGTGGCAGAGCACAGTTAAAATCGCCTACAAGCACCACTGGAGCTGAGGGTCTTAGCGAAGAGAATAATGCATCAAGCTTCCCCGTCAGGATTGTGTACTCTTCAAAATTTACCGCAGATGAATTCCAGTACGGCATGTAGCAGCCAACTATCGTTATAAGATAGTTGGCTGCTACATGCCAACTATCTTATATATGTAATATAACTAGTAGTTCGAGGTTTGGTTAACGCTTTTAGCCGCTACCCAGACATTCCCATGAAGCATCTTGAGCAGGTTAGTTACAGTTTGCACGTTATCATCTTACGTTTTTGACTTTGGCAGTGTGGGCTGTTTCGGTCGGTGGGTGGCCAGATTTTGCATGCTGCCAGACTTGCGCTCTATGCTGGGGCTGGGAGGCGCGTGCGGCTGCTTCTCTGAGCCGGAGAGGTGAGGTCCTGAAAACAGTGAGCGTAAGTCAGTGTTATTCTTTCAGCGGCATTGTGCACTAAACAAAATTTACGCTTATCCTGTCGATGTCAATGACGCCATGGAAGCCATCCACCATCATCCCATGACAGCTATCCACTGCATAATCCACCGAATCAGCACTGCTGGACTACCGGGGTATTTCAATGGAAAAACACAATTCTAACGAATAGTGCTCATCTGTGTCAAACAGCCTGCGGTTAGGGTGGAGACACGCTGCACTATCATCAGAAGAGCTGCACCATCTCCAGCTGAAGTGCAAAACACGATAAACTATACCACATTCCCAGCGTAATGTATCACTTCCCATTGCAAGGACCCCTCCTCGGCATCCCATTACCCACCGTGCGCTCCGGGCCGCGCGAGGTGCGTCCTCTCGTGGCTGACGGCTCGCCTCGGCGGCGCCTGGCGTGGGGAGCTCAGGGTGGGAGGCCCGTTGGCAGCAGGCACCGTCAGCTGGCTGTTCCTTCTCGCTGCTGACGAACACACACGCAATGCACGGTCAGTGCTATTTTGGGAAGCAATTTCGGTAGCGATCACCTTGCACCGATAGTGGGTCGATCAGATAGAAATCTATCCAGCAGTGATAAAGATTTAACGGTGAACGTTTAGGAATTAGGATGTTCCACCGGGTGACATTCGAGCTACTCGATGCACGATGTTTCTCGTTATCTGAATTTTACCTCTTGCCATTCGGGGTTAACATGAATAAATTCATTTGTTCTTAGCTTATCAAGTATGTTCTGCTTAAGTCTGAGTTTGGTTGTGGACTAAGCCAGACTTATCTGAACTGTGGAATCGATTTTTGCAGCGGTTAGAACTAAGCGCATCGTGTTAATCTGCCAGAAGAAAATCTATCGTAAGCAAATAGAGGAAATAAATCCCATTCGTCTATGCGAACCACTTAAAGAGAACGATCTAGCGGCTGCATAAAAGTTATCAATCGCACGTTACTAACCGTGCCATAATTATAAAACGGCGCATATTTACTGCTCTGCTCGTTCTCACCGAGCCGGGAGTGGACGGCGCCGTTCACGCCCTCTGTCTCCGGGTGGCGGCCGTTGCGGACCCGTTCCTCCTTGTGCGAGTGGTGAGGATCAGCAGGCTCCCGATGGCCGGCCCGCTCCAGACCCTTCCGCATCTCGTTCCGCTTCGTCAGCAGCTTCAGCTTGCTGCGAGTCGTGTTGGACAGCGTGATGCCGTTGGGGTCCTGTGGATACGGGGAGGGAAGAATGAAAAAGTTATCGGCGACGGTAACACAATGCTTCGTTGGAGATGATGGCTTCATGTGCCTAACACACGACGAAAGAGCTGCAAAAGCTCAATCGAAAATTGCTCGTGCACTTAACATATTGTCATCACTTGCTGTTATATCAAACAATCAGTTGTAAAATTTATGATTTATCCTGACATATTCTCCAAACTTATTAAATGAAACTGTTCTAAACAAATAAAAAAACGTCTTCTTCGGAAGCTGCTTTTATCATAGGCAATTAACGAACTGTGCATATCAGGCAGAAGAGAATCGCATGCCCCGCTATTCTGGACATAGATCGTCCTACTCTCGTCTGTGAAATACGAGCTTCTGTTCTTGTTAGATTGATAATCGGCCATCAACGGACAATATTACCCCTGAGCAGTTCGTATTCCAGACCAATGCACAATCTTTACTGGCTATTTTCGAGCAGTGGGTGTCCGTTCACCTATGTATCCTGGTTCCCAGTCGGTGACCCGGCGCGTTACCTCATCACTGGAGCCGGAGTGGTCATCGGCCGTGAAGGCGAACTGGGAGTGTTTGGTCGGAGCCCGCAGCGCTCTGTCCACCTGGTCCGTACCGCCATAGCTGATACCTGTTGGTGGAGAGAGGCGTCAGAACGCGACCTGCCGACCACCCCAGGCCACGAAAACAGTCACAGACTGGTACAGATGCATGTGTGTGGTAACGACCAGCTATGTGGTTTACTTATTTACTCGATACACATCTTACGTAAGGTTGAAAAGTTTGCCATCGGGTGTAAATGTCATCCATGATTTAAATTTTAAAGTGAGCATTCTGAACATGCCGTGCCAATGCGTATGCCAAAAGCCAACGATAAAAACCCATGCAGACTATACAGTAAAGACAGATGCCAAAGCAAGGAAATCACACGTTCAAACTAAAAGTGACATCCTCTTGACCTTATGCAAAAGTCATCCGTATAAGAACTCGCCGACAGTTTGATACGTGACTACAGGCTATAAGATGACTTGAGAGACTTCATCAAGCCGGCTGGCAACTGGGAGTAGAGAGAGCCCTTCCCCAGTGAGAAGGGACAGAGGGCCAAGCTCGCTGTCGGAGTGGCTGGCAGCAGCGGAGGAACTTACCACTGCGTCTCCTGGTAGGAGAGAGCAGGGCCGCCACCGTGGGCTGACGATGTGCCGTCCCCGCGGTGGACAGAAGGGTAGCTGTGGACTGGCGCTGTGCCGAGCCTGCGGTGGACAGATAGGTCGCTGTGGATTGGCGCTGTGCCGCCCCGGTGCTGGACAGATGGGTCGCTGAGGACTGACGTTGAACCGCCCCACCCGCATGAATGGCCGTATACCCTCCGAGACCGGCCGGCGGTGAGCGCTGTACACGTCCAACCGAGCGCGATCGGCTGGCCCCCGCCGCCAATCCGTGGCTCAGAGTCTGACCTCGCAGCACTGAGGCCACCGTGGGCTTGGATGGAGTGACGCGGCGCGGCCCGGCCGGTGGCGGACGCTGAGGTCGGGGTAGCTCTGGTGCCGGCCGGCGGCGCTGCTCCGGAGAGAGTCTACTGACCAGCACCGGCAGCCGAGAGGGACTCTGCGACTGCCGGCCGGACCGGCGTCCCAGTCCCGAGCTGGGGCTCACCAGTGGTGAGGGGGACCCTCCGCTGCCGATCGGTGAGCTGCTGGAGCCGTGCAGCGCTGCCGTCTCTCTCAGCCGGTCCGGCGAGCTCAGCGGAGGGACTGGTTCATCGTCGTCACCGGCCACCAACATCGAGCTGTCCACACCGTCACTGAGCATCTCTTCCAGGCTGAGACCCTCTTCAGACACACTGGCTGAGGGCTGGCTGGTGCACGGGGCACTCCAGGAACCCACCGGTCCCTGCACGGGCCACTGGAGCACATCGGCCGTCCCTGGCGGTGGCGCCGACAGAGCCTCCCTCGCCTCGGGCTTGCCAGAATTCCATGGAACCGGCAGATTCTGAGACACGGTAGACACATGAAACTGGAAGACTGGCGGTTTCAGAGCGGCTGCGTGCATGGTGGGATCACTACCCTCTCCTCCGGGCCCGTGCGCGCAGCTCACAGCACCATCGGCACCGGCGGCACCCTCTGAGCACCCGGCGCGCGGCACGGCTCCACCGGACGGCACCGTCTCCGGAGCGCACTCCGTCGGCAGCACAGAGCGTACTGGACGTCGCCGGTCGATAGTGGCTACCGGCGCAGGTGACGGCCGCGCCACCCACCGGCCAGCGGAGCCCGGTCCGGTCGGAGCGCCGCCGACCGACGGATCGGTCGGTATGAATGGAGGACGGTCTGAAAGGCACTGGTCCTGGTTCTTGTCCGCGTTGGTCCCGGTTTCAGATCCTTTAGGGGGTCTTGTTGAGGCTTTACTTATTCGCGATGAAATATCATCGGCTTGGCAGTAGTCCTTTTCCACCTCACTTGAAATATTCTTACTCTTCAGTAATTGCGAGTGTTGCTTCGCTAACGGATCACCAATATCTTTTCTATATTCTAAAGTCCACTTTTCATGGGAGTCGAAAGAGACCTCATTAATGCAACAGGATATCTCCTTCTCATCCATTTCGAACGTCTTCTGTCGGTCGCACGCCGTAATTTTCACAACGCTGGAGGTTACTTGAGACTTGCTTTCTGTAGTGTATCTGATAACATCACTGCTCACAGGGTGGGTCTTGTTGACATCGCTCCGTGCCGGTTCTACTCTCCTGACGGTCAGCTGAGCGCAGCCGTCGCTCTCCTCAGAGTCTGAGGAGGACACAGAGAGGAGTGCCGTTCCTCTGACGACGGTGGGAGCTTCTCCCCACCGCCAGAGCCGGCCGCCGGTCGGGGGCGCACCACCAGGCATCGGCCGCTGACCGATGGCATCGGTATTCGTTCCCAATCCGCTCTGCGCTTCTAATGTGAGCTGCACAGGTTTGTGAGGACCCCCGCCGATCGACTCGACACTGCGGTGGCCGGTGACCGGGATGGGACCGACCTTCTGGGAGAAGCGATCACCAGTTGAGCTGCCACAGTGCGCTGCCGACCCGCCACCGCCTGGCTCACTCTCAGACGAGCTCTGGCGGCCCACGCCAGCCGCTATCATAGCCTGAGCCTCCTGGAGAGCACTCTCTTCACTCAACTCTGGCTCCAACTCCTCCCCAGGCTCTGACTCCGGCGCCGGCTCCGGTTCAGGCTCCAGCTGCAGCTCTGGTTCCAGCGAGGACTCCAGCTCAGGGTCCAGCGGCGGGTCCAGCGGTGGATCCAGTGGCGGATTCAGCGGTGGATCCAGTGGCGGGTCTAGCGGCGGGTCCAAAGTTGGATCCAGCTGCGGGTCCAGCGGAGGGTCCAGCGGCGGCTCCGATCCGGCGGCCGACGGCTCCGCTGAGTCGGAGGACTCTGGCCGCTCCTGTAGCGAGTCCGACTGGACCGAGTAGAAGCTGCTGCTGCTGTTGTCGCGGCGCAGCATGTCGCCGAGCCCGGCCAGGCCGTGGATCAGCTCCCGCTTGAGCAGCTCGCAGCGGTCCGTGGCGCCGGCGTCCGTCACCTCGGCCGACTCTCGGTGCGGCCTCTCGGCCATGGCCGGAGCTGCTCTGCCAATGAATCGATGCCATAGGGCGGCCGGCGGGGGCTCCGGGGATCGATCCGGCGCTGGCCAGCCGGTCCAGCGCTGGACGCGGCCGCGCCACTCGGCCCAGCTCCACAGGTCCTCGGGCTGCTGGCCACCGGAGCAGTCCAGCAGCAGGTGCGGCTCCAGGAAGGACAGGATCGCCTCGGAGCGGGCCCGAGAAGGAGCGGCACCCTGGCTGAGGGCCAGCACCCGGGAACCCGTCATCAAAACATCGGACACAAATCACAGGGTGAGGAATCGGGTGTTATTAAATGCTATCAAAAACTGATCAAAGGATCTAATCAACGATTAAGTGTAGGATTCCATAAGCGGCCCACGATTAGCAGGAATTATGATGGGGACGATTAAAGACAGGAAAAACTGGAGTAGGTAAGAGCAATACTGCTTGAATCTAACCATGAACCTTATCAGTATCTCTTCGCATCGAAATAAAAGATCAGACGAATTGCCAGGCTACGGTTTTGCCCCGCATGCCGATCCCCGTTTCACCTCTGGCGGCTCAGTTTCCTCAATTCCTCCTCTAGCTGTGTGAGCAGGGGTCCACGGAAGGCGCGTCTCCGGTCCGGCGGCAGCGACTGCAGGGCGACCAGCACGTCGGCGGCCGGCCAGCGGCGGCAGCAGCGCTGGGCCAGCTCGGCGGCCGGCGCGCTGGCCATGGCCGGCCGCGCGGCCAGCCGCAGTCGGAGAGCCGCCGGCCGCCGGAACAGGTACGGCAGCGGCGGCGGCGGCGGCGGCGGCGGTCTCGGCCGGGCCGCTGCGCCCCGTTGAACAGGCGGCGCCAGACGCGGCAGGCGGAGCTCACCGGTACGCGCTGTGGCACCAACCACCGGACACAGCGCTGTGCAAAAGCTTCATCGATTCGCGGGGCACGGCTGGCACCGACAGTACAAACTACAACATGCTACAACCACATAGCACGCGATAAATCAAGGAGGATAAAAGAGGAGGAGCTACAAAAGAGTATTTCAATCAAAAGGTCAAGACACGAATAATGCATCAGAGCTTAGATGTATATGGTCAAAGAAGGGCTGCGTCTCAAACAACACAAAGCCAAAGATCATCAATCATCCGCTTGATGACAGAATAGCATAAGGGCACGACTACACACCGATGCGGCCATGCGAGTGCACCACAGGCAGAGGTGTGTGAACAGCCAAGGCCCTTTAAACGGGAGAGTGAGACAGAGCATCCAGGGGTGACCGTCTACTCACGGCGTCCGCCGGGGGTCGGAGACAGGCTGGTGCTGCTCGGACTGTCACCGTGGTAGCTGTAGCGGTGGCCGGGCGGCTGCGGCGCGGAGCTGGTCGACTTCCCCTGCAGCGGGCTGACGACACAGAGACGACGTCAGACGGACTGCCACGGTACAACACTACATCCGTCAGTGTACATTTACTCATTTTTTTCTGTGATTGGTCGGAACGCGTTGGCGATAGCGACCTGAAAGTTGACATACCGACGTTTTGATTAGCCCGCGCCCCACTGGGGGGGGAGGGGGGGGCTATTCATAGCCCCTCCCTCCCGTTTTTCTACAATAACTTCCAAACCGCTTGACGTATCGACGCCAAACTTTCAGTACCTTCGCCTGCATCAATTTGACACCTTGTGTTAAACTATGAACTTCGTAGATACAATAGGTCGGCCGGAAATGACGTCAGAGTGACGTCATGCTCGGCCGATTTCGACGCAAAACATTGAACCACGGCAATCGCTCCCAAGAGCTCAGTTTTTAAGCTAGATCCAATTTCTTTGCATCAGAGGACTCAAAATAGACGGCGCTATCAAACTGCTATCTCGGATTTTCAAAAGTTTGAAAATTTTGAAAATTATTTATAATGAAATTCAAAATTTACATTTTCATATTTTCTTCAAAAACTTTTTGACTTTTCGAAAAAACCCGGAATATATGTGATAGAAGTGAACACATGTTTATGACCTACCCTAGCAAGTTTTAGCCAGATATTTTCAAAAATGGCCAAGTTATAGGTACGCATTATAACAAAAAATTCACGAGTATAAATTTTTCAAATCAATTTTTCAGTACATATTTGACATCGAGCACCAATATAAATGCCACCATCGTGTTCCTGAGCGCAAACTGCATCCGATAGACACATTTCTTGTTGAAAAATTTTAACTTCAAAATTTGACCTTTTTTTACCTGAAAGCGACCTGACCTAAGCTAAGTTCAACTCAAAATGACCTCAAATGGCACAAATGACATCACATTTGAAATCTATGGCCTAAATGGACCATAAAACATGTGTCACGTGACCGACGCATGATATAATATTTCCGTGACCTGTGATGACCTGACCCTGACCTGAAAATCAAAGCACAAGTTTTATACCCTCAGGGTATCTAAAGCATCTGTTCATGAGTGTGTAAACCAAAAATGAGCCCGATCTGACTTGAAAGACGGCGGACAGAGCCCAAAATGTGAACAAGTCAATTATCGATAACTTTTAGGTACTTTGACCTGTGACGTCATCAGAGACCTCGAGGTCAATGACATTAGGTTTCATTCGACAGTTTTTCCGGGGCTATCAGACGCCGTTTGAATTTTGACAATCGGCCCAGCAGTTTGGGAGTTAGGAGGGGGGGGGGGCTATGAAGAGCCCCCCCCCCCAGTAGGGCGTGTTATACGCAGATCCCAGTGGGGCGCGGGTTAACCCGCGCCCTGATGGGGGGGGCCATTTTGGCCCCCCCTGTGGTTTTTCTTAAATAGCGCGAAAACGGCGGCGCGCAGCGCCGCCAAATTTTTGGTACCTTACCGGGCATCAATTTGACACCTTCACACAAAATTTCAAGTCACAGGTCACCTCAGGTCAGGAGTTATTGAGGTCAAACTGAGGTCATGTTCGAGTAAAAATGAGCAAAAAACATGACATCTTGAAACGCTCACCAATTCTACAGTTAACAAGCAATTTTAAAGTTCTTTATGTGGTTGTGTAGACAAAAGACGGCGCTACAAAACTGCTATCTCGGATTTTCGAAATTTTGGGAATTTGACCCCCAAAAATCAAAAAAATTGATTTTTCTAGAAAAACTCAAAAAATTTCCAAATTTTTTTTTCGAATTTCGAAAAAACCGGAATATATGTGATAGTCCCTGCGCTCTTCGATATACATACCAAATTTTAGATTGATACCTCTTTTTTTGGCCAAGTTATGGCGAAAAAACTGTTAAAAATTGATGACGTCAAATTTTTGAACTCAATTTTTAGCAATTCTAGACCTCGTAGCGCAAAACGGAGACCACCATTGAACTCCCCGTGACGAGCTGCATCGAATCGATACCCATTTTATGCAAAAATATCAACTTTGAAATTTGACCTAATTTGACCTGACCTTGACCTGACCTTGACCTGGCCTTGACCAAAACGTGATCTAAGCTGGCCCTAAAGTCTGTCTGACCCATATAATCGCATTTGTCATGTAAAATGGACCATAAAACATGTATCACACGACACTTTCATATTGTGACCCCCCCCAGTGACCTGACCTCTTTGACCTGACCTGGTATCAGTGACCTCAAATAGCAAAATATGTGTTTGAAGATCATTTCCCCATCGATGATTTTCAATGAAATGCATTTTACTCGATTTTACAACGCATTTCTTGAAATGCCTGTAAACGGTGAAAATTCGACCTTTGACCTGACCTGTGACGTCATCGGTTTGACCGAGGTCAATGAAATTGGGTCACAAGGTAGTTCCCCGTTGGGGCTATCCAACACCGTTTACCGCTTGTCGCTATGTTGCGTGGTTCTCGAGATCTGAGGGGGGGGCCAAAATGGCCCCCCCCCCCCATCAGACCGCGTTGCTCGGCAGACCCCATCTGGGCGCGGGTTAAGGTCGGATCTGGTGACACCAACCGCATTTTGTGGCCATGTCAGGTCACTAAACTATAACGTCATAAGTGAGCCTCTGCACGGTCCTAAAATGTCACAACTTCGCAACGTTCTCTGTGCCAGAGAATCTTTTGTAGAGGTCAAGGTTACGAGACCTAAAAGATAACTTCTCCAAGTAGGTACGCACAAGTTAAGTTGTATGCATCGGGTTTTTTCTTAAAACCTTAGGTTGGTCATGTGACCTCACCGTTTCAAGAAAATGGGAACATATATCGTCAATCAGAAGCCTAAGTTGACCTTTTCCAAAGGAAAAATATATCATTCAACGTTCCTGAGCATGACGAACACGATGGTGCCAAAAATTGCGGCTGTGACCATTTTTGGCGGAGCTATTCACTGTACAACCCAAACCCGTTTCCAGGAACATTTGACCTGGCCTCAGGTCACCGGTTGACCTGAGATGATTGATAGGTTTCGCTGTGTCTTGCAACGACACAAACGCTGTTTTTTTTTTCTCAAAGCCCTAACTCAATTGGGGGCGAAACGGTCAGCGTTCAACCAAACCGATAAATCTGGCGAGGTTTAATATTAGCCTACGTGACGCGCGTTGCGGCGTTTTTACGCCCTACAACGTTTGGCCCGGTAATTCTGGGTTGAGCTACACCAGAAATCAAGGCCAAACCACCAGCAACAAATGTCGACATGTATGTCAAGCGTCAACATTGCTGGACACGACCTAACACTCTGACCGACTTTGGCCAAGAACGTTGGCCGGCCAACCACTATATCTACATACCACATACGAGTACATACTGCCACAGCCCACACGGCACACTGACATACACCACTGATCGTAGGTATGCCCTTTCAGGTCACGACAACACACAACACACGTCACGTCAAAACGTCAAAACCGTTTCCCCAGGACGGCCAACGTCACAGCGGGAGGCTCTGCAATCGAAATCTCCCAATGAGCTGTTCGTGCGTTTAAAATTTGGTTCCTAAATAGTGCCTAACGAGCATATTCATAAGCTATACCTCTCCGCCTAGTCAGGGAATAGGTCGGGAACGTCTCTAGGAATTATCTCAGGCAGCAGGACCTCAGAGGCTGTTCTACGCACGTGGTCCAGTGGCGGTCGCAGGGGGGGGGGGGGGCATCAGGGCCATGCCCCCCCAAAGGCAAATCAGGGGGGGCCATCATATCATTTGGCCCCCCCCAAACAACCGATGGGCCCCCATGGCCGTATGGGGCCCTGGCCCGTATTCGATTGTCACGAGGCTCGAGAAACCCACGCCAGCTATTAACAGCTCCCATACCAGTCTTTGAGGGTCCTACACTGACCTCTGCGGGCCCTTCAGTGGCGGTCAAGCGTCCACATTGACCGCTGAGGACCCGTATTGACCTCTGAGGGCCCTCCACTGGCCTTTGAGGGTCCCTAAACCGGCCTCAGGGGCCCAACCGGCGTCTGAGAGCCTCACACCGGCCTCTGGTGGCCTCATTTCTGTCTCTCGAGTCCCAAGACTAGCCTTTAAGTGTCTCTGAGGGCCCCGCACTGGATTCTGAAGACCCGATGTCGAGCCAGCATCGGCCTCTGGGGGCCCATCTTGGCCTTTGAGGGCCCTCCGCTGGTCTCTGGGGGTCCAACGCCGGCCCATGCCGGCCTTTTAGGGCCCCACCCACACTGACCTCTAAGAGCCCATGCTGGCCTGTAAGGACCCACATTAGCCTCTGAGGGCCCCCCGCACTGGATTCTGATGACCCAATGCCGGCCGCTCAGGGCCCGCAACGGCGTCTGAGGGCCCATCTTGGCCTTTGAGGGCCCTCCGCTGGCCTCTGGGGTCCAACGCCGGCCCATGCCGGTCTTTTAGGGCCCCACACTGACCTCTGAGGGCCCATGCTGGCCTGTAAGGATACACATTAGCCTCTATGGGCCCCACACTGGATTCTGAAGACCCGATGCCGGCCTCTAAGGGTCCGCATCGGCCTCTGAAGGCCCATCTTGGCCTTTGAGGGCCCTCTGCTGGCCCCTGGGGTGCAACGCCGGCCAACGCCAGTCTTTTAGGGTCCCATTCTGATCTTTGAGGGCCCCATGCTGGCCTGTAAGGGCCCATATTAGCCTCCGAGAGCCCCCCGCACTGGATTCTGAAGACCCGATGCCGGCCTCTAAGGGTCAGCATCGGCTTCTGCGGGCCCATCTTGGCCTTTGAGGGCCTTCTGTTGGCCTCTGGGGTCCAACGCCGGCCCATGCCGGTCTTTTAGGGCCCCACACTGACCTCTGAGGGCCCGTGCTGGCCTGTAAGGACCCACCTTAGCCTCTGAGGGCCCCGCACGGGCTTCTGAAGACCTGATGCCGGCCTCTAAGGGCCCGCATCGGCCTAGTCTGAGGGCCCATCTTGGCCTTTGAGGGCCCTCTTCTGGCCTCTGGGGTCCAACGCCGGCCCATGGCGGTCTTTTAGGGCCCCACCCTAACCTCTGAGGGCTCCATGCTGGCCTGTAAGGACCCATATTAGCCTCTGAGTGCCCAATTCGATCTCTGATGGTCTCAAACTGCCCTTTGCAGGCCCTGTACTGGTCTCTCAGGGCTCTAAACTGGCCCCTAAGAGCCCAAACCAGCCTCTAAAGGTCCCACGACCCACACCGGCCTCTGATGGTCCCATTTCTGTCTCTGGGACCGAAACTGCCCTTATGTGCCTCTGAGGGCCCCGTACTGGCTTCTGAAGGATCGATGCCGGCTTCCGAGGACCCATACCGGTCTTTAAGTGCCTCATAGCGACACCTGAGGCCCACACTAGCCTCTGAGGGGCCCGCAAACTGGCCTATGAGGTCTCTACACCGGCCACTGATGGCCCTATTATGTTCTCTGGGGGGCTCAAGCCTTACCTTTGGGCGTCACGCACTTGCTTATGAAGGCCCACATCAGCCTCTGGGGCCCTACCTGGGGCCTTTGAGGCCCTTCGCTGACCCTTGGGTACAACGCCGGCCTCTGGGGGTCTGACACCGTACTCTAAGGGCCCCATTGCAGCCTCTAGGCGATAGGTACCTATCGCCGAAGCGCTATCGATGGGCCCATAAGTGTAGGAACCATGGGTGCAGTGGGCGCAGTTGCACCAACAATAATTCTGCAGTGAGTGCAGACAATGTATTCTGCATCCACAATAATCTGGAACAAAACCCCCTTTCCTCAGCAACACTACTTTCCATGCAGCACGACAAATTTAGGATATTTTGCCCACTATCCGTCTTTCGAAGCATTTCCTACTGTAATGGTCTTCAAAATTTGCATTTGTGCTCAAGTAAAAAAAAAGATTACACGGAAGTCGGAACACATGTGATTGAACAGTGAACAGATACCGATGACCCACTGTTAAAAGTTTTAGCACGATGATCTTAAAAAATGGCAAAGTTTTTTTTGCAAAGAAAATGGCAAAGTTAGCCGCCTTTACTTTTGCGGTAGTCCATTCACAGTTGCGTGAATTATTGACATAATCAATGCTTCAAAATGCACTTTTCGGTACCTTTTCGACATGGTGCACCCTCAAAGCTCTCAATGAGCCTCCGCTCGGGTGCCGCTCCCTACCCCCCCCCCCCCCCCCCCCGCTTCACCGGCCATGGCCTAGATTTCTGCACCCGTGCACTACGCCCGTGGGCCCCTTTAAGCTAGCACCGGGCCCCCCGGGTCAGCGCAGGGGCCCCTTTGTCAAGTTGGCCCCCCCCAAACTCCAAGTCTGCGACCGCCCCTGACGTGGTCCGTGAGCCTCCCGAGCCGCCGGCCGGCGCCACTTACTTGGGATCCGAGTCGTGCCGTATTCGCTCCACAGGCGTCTGCTGGCGGCTCGGTTTGCCTCCCATGGCTGCAGCGCGCCACCCACCCGGCCCCGTGCTCCGCCGCCAGCACACATACGCCCCAAAGCTGCACAGACACTGGACACCGCCGCGCCGCCGCCGCCGCCGGCGCCGCGCGAATGCCTGATGGCGTCAATAGTGCCAACCACTGGCGGCGTATATCCCCCTCCCCTACCTGCCGTGAGCCGTATCGACCCCTCGGTAGGGGGTGCACCCGCTACCCAGTGGCGGGTCCAGTGTCATCGTCATCGGTACGTCCGCGGCACTGGCAGCTGATCAAATAAAACAAAATACCTTCAGACGTCAATATCTTCTGACGTTTTTTTATGCGTTGGCCTTGCTTAGGTCAAGGTGAATATACGTTTTTACGTTTTTATTTAAAAAAAGTGTGATGGTGGTAAATGAGGTGCCAATATCGTGCTCCCCTTAGATGCGGTTCGCTTTTTCAGCTAACGCCTAACAATTTGCGGCGGTACGAATCTCAGCAATGGCCTAAAAGTAAAATTGCGCGGCTCAGCAGTGGAATCTACCGTGCCGGAACGTTGCGCTACAGCTCAGTACAGGTAGGTAAGCCGCTCGGCCGCCACCCGGCTCTCGCTCCCGCCATATGGATTTCGGTCGCCACACCGCAGCCGTTGCCTAGCGATGGGCAGCCAAACAGAGCCGAGCGACAGGCCGGACCTCGCGGCACCCCCCCCCCCCTCCCACCCCTCCCTCTCAACCACCTGGGGCGTTTGTACCTAAAAATGTACTTACATGTTACGAACATTACTATATACAAACACTTGGCCTACTTTATTTTTAAATCGTGCCCCGTCGGAGCTCCTTGATTTCCACGCCATGCTAGGGTGTTTGAACGCCACCCCTGACAACTCGACTCCCACGCTAGGTAGCGACACACGATAGGCGGTGCTCGAATGACTAAAATTATGAGGAAAGTATTGCTGTTACGTTTATGTCACGTCAATGGTTAGGTCACAATTAGTCATCGAAGGGAAGGATCGGATTTTCCCGATTTTGAGATTTTTGTGTGTGGACAAAATGGCGCAAAACTCAAGCATTATTAGGGGTAAAACGCCGCATAAAAGCTCATGAAATAGCTCAAATTGACGTTTTCTGGGAAAACCTTTTTTTCTGGAACAACTTCTGATGCATCGCCATTTACCAACATCGTGGTCATCTCGTCAAAACGTGTCAAATAAAATATATTTCGACCTTTAAATTTAACTCGGTGAGGCAATAGAGTTTTGGCAAGTGTTATAAGAGTATATCAACCATCGCGATGCATTGAGGGCAATGTGATGGGGGTAGAATTTTATCATAGATACTGATGAAAAAGTTATGACTGGAAAATGTCCCTGCAAGATCATAATGTCAAATTTGTTGACATAATTCGGAAAGGTCGTTCAATGAGCCATCGATTATCGATTGCTTTCTCACGCCGTCTCAGCTGAGCTCTTTTAGTTTATGAGCTTCCCTCGTCGGATCCGTGATCGGAATTCACGAAATCGCAAAGGTTGACCTTTGTTGACGTACACCACATTTACCTAAGTACTGACCTGAGCGAAAAATAGCATCTATATTTTTGAAAGCGCCCGCTTGGAGTTTTCGAATGGTTTCTTTGGCGTCTTTCTTACTTCTCGAAATAATTGGCCGTGGCCAAATATCCGCCCATGACGGCGAAGTTGGCTGCCACTCAGGTAGCCGCGGGTTTATACGTCACAGCGCGGCGGTTCAGTCCGCTCTAGGGGAAGCGGGGGTAACACCGCCCCCCTAAGCTTTTCGCCAAAATGAGAGAATATGTGTGAAGTCTCTTGGTAGTTATTGTCTTGGTTACAATATTTAAACATTTTCTCACGTGTTTTAGGTACTTATTTTGCATGCTCCTAAAAGGTTTTCATGTATCACGACTTTTAAAAATACCTTGCATATTTGCCGCCTACAAATTGTGTGGGTAACCCCGCCACCGGTGTTGATGTTAACCCAACCCATCCATAAGAAAGCTTTTAATTGTTCAGAGATCGCGTGCGATGAGTTTCCTGTCGGTAAGTGGTAATTTTCGCAAATAATCGGTAATGGACACCTAAATAGGTATAGGTTCATCAGCTTTTTGCCAGTTTTATACAGCTGGCAAGTGCTTGGTCGGGATGCATGAAAAATATAAAGTAAAAAATCAAATAAGCTGCTTATTCACGACTTAGGAACATCTACGAACATAAAAAAGCGTCTCTTTGGCAGTTTCATCACTTATCACGCTACGAACAGGAAACACCGCAACCTCAATCGGGGTAACACCGCCACGGGGTGGCGGTGTTCCCCAATAAGTGATCACAAGCAAAAATCGCCAGCGGCAGGAATGTACTACACGGTTCAAGCAAACTTATCTTAATGGACAAAGCCGATCAATTATTTTTCGATGTAATCAAGTAAATCAAAATGAGTCTCTTCTTAAAGACATTCAAAAGTGCTCCCAACTCATCGAATTTTTATAAGAGAATGTACATTTTTCTTTAAATGCCCACATTAAGCTTCGATTACACTGAATCACCGGAACACAAATCAGAAGACGCTTACCTTCGTGCGGTTAATAGGAAATAACGGATTTTTACACTTCACATTGCATACTTTCGCCGCCAGATGGGGTGGCGGTGTTTCCCACAGTGGCGGTGTTCCCCCCGCTTCCCCTACATAATGTGCAGGAGACGGGCCACGCTAATGGTCGTCCCGGGACGAGAATACCTTGGTTAGCGTTGATCCTCTTACGAGTTATATCCCGGTTAACAGTGCAGACCGCCCAGCCCAGGAAACGGAGAGCGACCAAGATAGGAGGAAACAGTTGGATTCCAAGAATTGAAAGACTTACTTGGGTTTAGAGGGCCCGACGCCGCCTTTTTCGTACACCAGGTGCGACCGTTCCGCCAGCTGAAGTGTTTGATTTAGTTCGTCTCCAACTGGTTCTGGTGATCTTTTGATTGTAAGAACTTCACGGTGGGATGGAAGGCGATGATATTTTGACTGAAACGGAGCGCTGATCAGAAATCATAGCACGGTCACACATAGTGGGCTGAGTGCAGTAATTAGAAAGTCTAACAATTATTAATCAAAATTACCATTCTTAACTTAGCCCACGGAATGGGCGCTATGAATGAAATATTAGCGATCGATTTTATAAGAATTAATTATGTCGCAAACTTCTAGACTTATAATTCACACAAGAAGACCAATTTCAACTGCAACTGCAAGCCGAGCTGCAAAACCAACTGCAGACGCAGACTCCAATCAAGGGAACGTGCATGCAATTTTAACACGCCTCCTGAAGACGACTGATTACGGAGCGAGCGAAGCGAGCGTAGTCTTTCCTTAGATTAACGGAAATTTCTGAGTATGAGCGGCCGGCCGGCCGTGGTCACGATTCTGCGACGCTTATATCTCAGCAACCACTTGACCGATTTACATGCGGTAATTTTTGTAGGGTAGCTTCATTCCTTCTACCAAGTACCGGACTATTCCCGATGCATGTGGGTGACCCCTTATGCACGTGCCACGTGCAAAACGAAGAGGTGTCACTTTTGTAATTGTTGCAATATCTCGGTAACTACTTGGCCGATTGCGCTGAAAGTTGGCATGTAGGTAGGCACCCACTAGGCACTGCATATCCATGTGCCAGAGTTGGGGTGCTGCTGCACGTGCGCACGTGCAGGGGTCGATTCCAGATCTCGAGAACGGCTGGACCGATTGTGCTGAAATTTGGTACATTGTTAGGGACCGGTTAGTAGGGTGCCGTGCAAAAGTTAGTTGGGACCCATTTTGCACGTGCGCACGTGCAGGGTGCCGCTTCCAGATCTCGAGAACGACTGGGCCGATTGTGCTCAAATTTGGCACATCGCTAGAGACCGGTTAGTAGGGTGCCGTGCACAAGTCAGCTGGAGGTACGTACCCCGTCGAAATTTCGCACGTGCAAGGCCCACCCTCTCGCTCGCTCCGTTAGTCGCCCCAAAAGGCGTTATACTGGCTTAAAACCTCGTGTACGACTGATTACGGAGCGAGCGAAGCGAGCGGAGTCTTTCCTTACGGAAATTTCTGAGTATGAGCGGCCGGCTGACCGGCCGTGGTCACGATTTTGAGACGCTTATATCTCAGCAACCACTTGACCGAGTTACATGCGGTAATTTTTGTAGGGTAGCTTCATTCCTTCTACCAAGTATTGGACTATTCCCGATGCATGTGGGTGACCCCTTATGCACGTGCCACGTGCAAAACGAAGAGGTGTCACTTTTGTAATAGTTGCAATATCTCGGTGACTACTGGGCCGATTGCGCTGAAAGCTGGCATGTAGGTGGGCACCCACTAGACAATGCATATCCATGTACCAAAGTTGGGGTGCTGCCGCACGTGCGCACGTGCAGGGGTCGATTCCAGATCTAGAGAACGGCTTGACCGATGGCGCTCAAATTTGGTACACGGTTAGGGACCAGTTAGTAGGGTGCCGTGCACAAGTCAGTTGGGACCCATTTTGCACGTGCGCACGTGCAGGGTGCCGCTTCCAGATCTCGAGAACGGCTGGGCCGATTGTGCTCAAATTTGGCACATCGCTGGAGACCAGTTAGCAGGGTGCCGTGCACAAGTCAGTTGGAGGTACCCCCTCGCAATTTCGCACTTGCAAGGCCCACCCTCTCGCTCGCTCCGTTAGTCGCCCCAAAAGTCGTTATACTGGTTTACGAGATACGTAAATAGTTGGCGTGGAAATTATCTCGAGGAATATATTACGTGAATCATGTTGTAGAATCAGGCTATATTCATTTTATATGATCTCAAGCTTTTACGACTATATATTTCAATTAAAGATAGTTTTTTTCGGCTACTAATAAACGACTAGTAGCCGAAAAAATACCTAATTTTCGGACCTGCGATAACGATAAAACGATAAGAAAGGTTTGCGATAACGATAAACGATAAACGATAAAGAAATAAAAAAATTAATAGCGATAGCGATAAAACAATAAAACGATAACGATAATTGTTTCTTTAACAGCGATAACGAAACGATTAACGATAACGATATTTTTTTTTAACAG